CTTGTCCAGAGCTGGGGGTATCAGCAGCAGCAGCAGCAGGAGCTTCCCTTGACTTCAATCTCCTCCTCCAAGTCCACAGAGCTGTATGGCTGCTCCTGCAGGCTGGGGAGCGGGGAGAGGGCTCTGTGCACCCATGAGTGTGTGCAAATGAAATCTAGAGCAGTGTCTTCCAGGGCAACTGGGACACTAGCAGATTCCCCAAGTCCCCACCCACCCTTCCTTCTGGGGACCCCTAGGCAGCCTACCAGGGAGCCCTGGGAATTCTGGGAACAGGTTAGGACAGGGGCACTCCGAGGGTCCTGCCCAATGAAGCGTGGGAGCAGGGAGACCAGCTCCCTTAAGACCCCAGGTGGTGATGGTCCTGCACTGCCTACAGTGTTTGCTGGGGACTCTGGGCAAGTTCTTGCCAAGACCCTTGCTCTCTGGCCTCAGTTCCTCCCTATCTGGGAATGGGGGTCAATGAGCTGTGAGACTCCAGCCTAGGGTTCCCAGTGCCTGCCAGCGACTGAACCTCCATACCTGGGGACTTGTGCCTTTGGTGTGGCCATGCCCCCACCTGGGCCCCTGGAAGTACCCCATCTCCGCAGGCTCACCCTCCCCCTCTCTAGCCAACCCCTGCCCCCTATTCTCCCTCATACCTCAAATAACCTGGGACTCTGTCCCTGAAGGACGCCAGCCAGTCATCCACAGTCTCCCTGCTCTTGTTCTCGCTGGACTGGAAGATCCCCATGATGGGCTCCTGTAGGTTGGCCAAGCCGAGGTCCTGCAGACAGCAGCTGGTGGGTGAGCTCAGACGCTGTGCTCCCAGCCTCCTCTCTCAGGAGGACCTATTTGCCTTACCCACCTGCAGGCCCACACCCTGGGTCTACCCCGCAGACCCCTGGGCCGGCACTGCTGGTCAGTGCTCTCTGGTCCCACTGATGCTACCTCCTGAGCTCCCCACAGGCTGTCCTGGCCTGGGTTGGGGCGGGCTGCCTCCCCCCAGCTGTGACATCCCCACCCCTACCTCACAGCCTTTGCTGTGAAAGCAGGTGGCCCCAGCCTTGTGTGTGGGACTCAAGGCCCAGTGCTGGCAGGCCTGAGTGTGGGTTGGGTGAGGAGAGCACACCCAGCCCAGGCAGGGGGCCAGGAGAGACAAGTACTAGAAAGGGAGAACTAAGCCCCCCAGCACCTGGCCTACCCAAAGGGCCCATGGCTCACCCCATGCTTCATGAAGATGTTGTGCAACTTCCTGGTGTCTGTCTCCACCTGAACCCTGAGGCCCTCCCACTTCCTGGGCTCCAGCGTCCTGAGGTGGGTGGCCAGGGCCTGGATGTACTCCCCAAAGACCAGCATGTGCAAACTTCACCTGATTCTCTGTTCCCCCAAGAGACAAAGAGATGGAGAGGCCTGAGCAAAAGCTGTCCCAGGACCTGGTCTAGCTGGCCTTCGGGGATGGGGGTGGCGGGCTGCTACACAGACTCCTCTCACATGGGCCTGGCGGGGGCCTGTCCCCACCACCAGGCAGATGGAACCCCTAAACCCCGGGGGTGCAGGGGTTCCTGCCTCAGCTTCTCGGCAAGTCAGTCACCCCCGAGTCGGCCTCCTACCTTGTACATGGGAGTGGAGTGCATGTTGGGGCAGCCCTCCAGGCCTTGCCACAGGGACTGCAGAGCTCGAACCAGATCCTTGTCCTTCTTCCCAAAGTGGCCCCTCGGCAGACTCTGAGGACCAGAGGGTCAGACGTCATGGAGGCCCAAAGCGCCCAGCTGGCTGTGCTCTCTCCCACCCTTGCCTGGTCTCCTCCAGCCTTGTGGCCCCCACCTCTCCCCACTGGGCGCACAGTCCTGGACCAGAAGGGCCCACACTGAGGGAGCCAGAGGCTCATCCCCTGTCTGTCCCAAAGCTCCATCCACTCTCCTCCTGCTGACTCCTGGGAGCACCCCAGATTCAAACTGCAGCCCTTGACTTGAGCTCCTCCCTGGAGCCCTCCCAAGTCCTCCTGGGTATCTCCCCTTTCCCCCTTGGTCCCCACAGGACCATAGCCTGGCAACGGACCTCGATGATGCTTCCTCCCTCCAGATCAGACTCCTGAGACATGGGACAAGGGCCTGCTCAGTTCTCAGTGGACACCAGAGGGGACGGGCAGAGGGGGCAACGCCAGCCCCCTCGGTGTTTAACCAGGGAACCCGAGCAAGTCCCATGCCCACTATACCGCAGCCCTCCAGTGCCCCATCTGCATGATGCAGCCTCATCAGCAACATCTGTAAAACATGGCGCCAAGTCCAATCCATGAGCTGTGGCTGCCTGGAGCTCTGGGTAGAGAAGGACCCTGCAGCTCCATATGGACGAGAATAGAATGCTAGAATTGATTAGTAATGTCTGCCACGGCCCAGGGTGAGGCAAGGCAGTACGTCGGCCATCCTGGGAGGGCATGACCTCTCTGGGTCTTCCCAGGAACTCAAATCTCTGTGGAAAATCCAATGGCAGATGTCTCAGGAGCCGGGGCCCACAGTGGAAAATGAATCACTGGATAGAGCTGCAGGAATGGAGACCCGCCCACCACCACCTACCATCTTCCACCCAGGAAGCCCCATGAGGACAAGGCCCTGAACCCCAGATTTGAACAGGAAGTGCCTTCCTGTGCTTTCCACATCCTACGAGGCCACCCTGCCCTCTCAAGACTTCAGCTCTGGGGCCAGCCCCTGGGTATCCTCAGGGACCTCATTCTCTGGTGTGTGTGGCAGCCACAGTTCAGGGGAGACAAAGATGGGCAGGTACAGAGACTCTGGGATGCAGTGACGGGACTTCACCTGCCTGGGGATGCACTGGGGTCAGAGCCAGGGTCAGGGGGAGGGGGAGTTGTCAGGCCTCAGCTGGCCTGGCCGGAGCGGTTTCACAGGTGGAGAAAGGAAGAGGGGACAAAGGGAGATGCCCTCAGTGAGGAGGGAGCCAGACCTCAGAAAAGGTGGAGAGGCCAAGCCCAGCCCCGCCCACCCACAGGGACAGGGCCCCTCCCTCAGGCCACAGGGCAGAGCCGGCCCTGCCCTTCTGCTCCAGACAAAGGCCTGACCAGGCGGCCTGACCAGGAACTGATCAGCACCTGATCGGTACCTTGCCCTGTCACCCCAGCAAAGGCTCTGCTGGGCTGCGCACAAGTCCAGGGAGACACAGGCAGGTGCCTCCTGCCTAGGTTCTCTGGGAGCAGAAAAGACCCCACACCAGGGCTGGGGCAGGGGGTGGCGTCACCTGGCACAAGGTTCTGACTCTAGGCAGGAGGTGGTCCCGGCTGTGGTCCTCAATGACATGGATGGTGCCTTGCACAGCAGGGCCCGGGTCTGCCAGCAGAACGTGTTCCTGGCTCAGATCCTGCCACGTTTCCCTGGTGGGGCAACCAAAGGGGTCCATGGGGCCTGGCCCAGAGCCTGCCACAGCCCCAGGCTGCATACCAGCCACACCGGTGCCCCTCTGTGCACCCTTGGACGCTCCCTCATTTCTGATGCTGTTGCTGTCTATCTCATCCACTGTTTTTTCACTGTATTTACAGACTTGTATTCATGTGGCTTAAAACGCAAAAGGTACAGTGGAAAAGTCCTCTCCCAGAGGCAGCCAGTGCTGTTGGCACCTGTTGTTTCCCTATGAAATGGTGCCATTCTGTACACACACCGGGGCGTTAGCCCCGCTTTTCTCACAGGTGGTCCGCATGGACCTGCCGCCTAGCCTGCCTGCTCCCACTGGCCCCGGCCGCTCCCCGACACACCCACTGGCCCCGCCCACGCCCGGGCCGCACCCCCACACACCCACTGGCCCCGCCCACACCTGGCACACCTGAGGATGCCCAGTTTGCCCCACGTGCACCTCGGGGGCCTTGGCGGCAGCGTTCTGCTAGAGGAACTGGACAGCCTCCGCCTGGTACCTGCAGTGGAGGATGGAGATGAGCCCCTCCCACCAGCCCAGCCCCCCAGGCCGGCCCCACCCAGCTAGGACCCGAGGACTTGCTCCCTCCCCACTTCACTGCTGCTTCTTCGCAGAATCACAGATGTGGGTGACAGCAACTGAGGTGTCAGCAAGGCAGCGAGGGCTGGCTTTGTGCCTTGGGCTGGCTCTGTGCCAGGCCCTGCAGCCAGATGCTTCCTAAGGGCCTTTTCATTTGATGCTTTCAGTGACCATTTGTGATAGATGCTTCCAGAACAGGATGGGAGTGTTTTTTTCCTGTGGCCTTGGGAACTGCAGAGAATGCTGCATTTGAGAGGCCTAGCCCTCCCGTTCCCCGCAGTGAAGGAAGAGGAGGGAGGGGAGGCAGTGCTCCCAGAGCCGGGCTGGCCCCCCACCCAGAGAGTCTGGGTGAGGCCTGGGGGTGCTGAGCTCTCGGGAAGGGGAGGCTGGCACCCCACGCCTGGGCTGGGCCACTGAAGCTGCCCCAGAGCAGGGAGCAGGGAGAGGGTCAGGGACAGCACACTGCTCCTCAAAGGCGGGAAAAAAGGGGTGCTCTCACCTGTCCCAAGAACATGGATCAACCTGGCCGCCCAGCCACATTTTCTTAAACATTTAAAACCTGGCTGATTTCACCGAAAAATCCCCATGTCTGGTTTCTCTTAAGTAACCTGCTTCATGTTTGCCCATAATGGAGCCCATCCCAGGTGAACACAGCTACTCTGAAGGCCCCAGAGGGAGGAGCCTCGTGATGGGGTCTACACAGTGCTTCCTCTGAAACAGGAGCAGCCCACAATACTGACTCCAGCCCCAGCCCAGCAGGAAAGAGGCAGGGTCCCCACCCAAACCCTGAGGCCAGGGCAGAGCTGGGTGTGTGGTTCAGGGGTCTGATGGGAAAAGCAGAGGAACGGGGAAGCGGGTAATGTAACCGAGATAATATTTTAATGAAATTTTTTTTAAACGATTTTATTTATTTATTTGAGAGAGAGAGCACGAGAGGGAAGAGGGTCCGAGGGAGAAGCAGACTCCCCGCCGAGCAGGGAGCCCGACGCGGGACTCGATCCCGGAACTCCAGGATCATGACCTGAGCCGAAGGCAGTCGCTCAACCAACTGAGCCACCCAGGCACCCTTTAATGGAATATTTTTAAAAATCAAAATCAGTCCAAAACATCCATCATGAGCAAAACACCAAATTTTAAATAAAGACAGAATTCGACCCTGTAGGTTCATGACGCCCCTCCTGGGCTTCCCCCTAATCCCAGTCCTGCTGTCTGGTGTGGGAGCCACAGCCCCACGTGGTGTTTAAAGTTCAATTAATTAAAAGTAAAATAAAATTACTTAATAACTAAATAAATTACAAGTAAATAAAATTTAACTGTGGTCCCTCTGTGGAACCAGCTCGAGAGCCACACGAGGCCAGAGCACCGTGTCAGACGCCGCCGCCATGGGGCATTTCCAGAGCCAGACTGGGAGCACCCAAAGCTGATGCTAGAACCTTCCCCTGCTTCGTGAGATGGCCAAGCACCTGGTAGCCAGCGGTTGGAGGCCTGGTCAGCACTCTAACTGGGGTTCGGTGGACCCAGCCACCCATGCCTCCTTCTGTGGGCAAGGACCACCTTTTCACTTACCTTTTCAGAAACTCTGAAAATGTTTCCAGAACCACCGCTTGCACCTGGCTAGTGACAGGTAGTCCCATGGGTTGTACTGCATTCATGCTTTCTTTCAGCAGCTGTCAGTCAAAGCAAGTGGGTTCTCAGGGGCACCCAGGGGTCACAGAGCCAGTGGACCCTAGGAGAATGTGTCCTCCCCCAACTTTGTGCCTGACACAGCTGTCCTTGCAGGAAAGGCTGGTGTGCACAGGCCACCACCACACGTGTACCACTATGCAGATGGCACAGAGCAGACACCTCCCGCCAGGCCCTCACTGCCCCTCCCAACCCCCCCACCATCTTGCCAGGCCTCTCTCCCTGGAGCCCTCCACCGTGTCCTGCCATGAGCCAGCCTGCACAACATCCTCCTCTCCATGCATGGCTAGGCTTCTCCCGTTTAGCCCAGAGGCTGCCCCAGCCCCACCTGAGGCTGCCAACTCCCCACCTGACACTGAACAGTGCTGCTTGGTGTAAAGGCATGAGGACGCTTAACATCCGCTCCTTTTCTCCCTCCAACCCTGAGCCGTCAAGGGAAGCAATAGAAACCCCCAGCACCAAATCCTCTGGAAAAAAGAAAAAAAAAAGCCCCCACCCCCCGCCGCCACCACCACACACGCTGGTGGCCTCTCCTCCTGGGCCAAACATCCTTCACCCCAGTGGGCTGCTCGACCCTCTCCCTGAGGTGTCCCCAGACACTGGTCCCAGTGTAGGTCCTACCTGAGGACTGAGCAGGCTCATGAGCTGAGACATTCCAGGAAGAGGCCTCCCCAGAACATATGCCCCTGCAGGGTCCCACTTGCCTCTGCCCGTCGCCCTCAAACACTGACGCTTCGATGCCCAGAGCCCCGCCCTCCACCGTGCCACCCATCCCGGCTGCACACGCACCCCACCACCCATCACCCATCGCCCCCCAGACCCCAGTCCTTCCAGGCCCCCTCCCAACCTGGCCGGGTGCTCAGGAAGGGGCCAGGGACCCCACGTGGCAGGCTGGGAAGGTTTGGACGGACGCATACCTGGAAGATTTCGAGAAACGTTGGGTGGGAACACTGGGCTCACCTTTTCCGATCCCAGATCAGGACTCTTTCTACACGCTTTGCCAACTCTTCCTGCCCAGAAAACAGTAAAAGCAACTCCTATCTCCACACTCCTCTCTGGAGCACGTCAGGTCCAGCCCCGACTGAGGACTTGGAGGGTGACACCCAGAGCCAGCCCAGGGACCAGCAGCCTGAAATCCGCCCCCAGGGACCCAGTTCCAAGTAAACCCCCTCTTTCACGGCCTCCAGCCCTCCGTCCATCACGGGTGGTCTGTGAAGCACCTTCTGGACACACCCTCCTCCTCATTCCTGGCAGGTCCTCCCCGGTGCCCCAGCCACTCATTCACGGCCTGGAGGGGAGGGGGATGACGAGCAGCTACCACTACCGGGCAGCCAGAGCCCTTCCGTGGGCGAGACCTAAGAGGGGTGCCCAGAGACCCACAGCCTGGGGGGCACCAGGGAGACCCGGGGTACTGGGGACCAGCTCCCGGCCAAAAATCTAAGTGTGACCTCGTGAGCCCGACCACAGGCAATGACAAAAGGGTGTCTCTGGCAGGTTCCCAGGGAAGGCTGCCCTCCTCACCTGGGCTTGCGGCACGGCCAGTGCCGTGAGGTCTGAGGGGGCCTCAGGCTGACTGTCCCCTGCTCCCATGCAGATCTCCCTCCTAGCCTGGGCACCTCCATCCAGAGGCCTGCTTACTGGGGGCCCTGGACAGGCCACGGCCTCCTTATTTGGAGAAGGGGACAGCCTAGAAGCCAATTTTCTCCACCGACTCAGCACTCAGTACTTTCCCACACCTAGCCCTGTCCATGTCATACCCTGCCCTCGTCCACCAAGCAGCAGGAAGCTGTGTCTGGCCGCCTGGGCCGGGAGAGGATCCTGACGCCACATCCAGCTGATGCTAGCCCTCGCCTGGCCCAGGTGCCAGGGATGGGACAGGCATCACTCCCGCTAAGCCTCTTGCCAGACACAGAAGGAAGCCTACATGGTCACGTTCGTTCTGGCCACCTGTCTGAATGGACCACTCGACACCCAGCACAGCCCTTGACAGGTGGGGTGTGGAAGTGCAGGAAATGCTAAGTAGCCCTGTCTTCCTTCATTCAGCCCAGACTGCAACTCCACGGTTTCAGGGGAACCCTGAAGGACAGGGGAACTCAAAACCCAGGTGTTTCAAGGAGACAGAGTTTGCAACCAAGGAAAAGCCTAAGCATTTATATACCAGTTACTGGAAAGTTCCAGCAAAATCAATACTGATTCTTTACTGCACTGAGAAACTAAGCTTTCTCAGTCTGTTAGCTAGGAAAGGCAGAGAGCTTCCTTCCCTGTATCCTGAACGTCTCTTCCACCGGTCCCCATGACTCTTGACATGTCTGTACCAAGACCAAGAACGCTGGTACAGGAAATCACGTTGGTAAAAACGATCACAGTAGGAGATTGTGATGTCCCCTTGAGTCCTCACTGTGTCTGCCATGGGTTAACCGCGTGCACCCATCTTGGGGCAGCTGGCTTTCCGCCTGAGGCTCACTGGCCCTGCTCTGTAGCCACTGGTATGGAAGAAGCCAGACCGCCCTCACTGGTCAAGGCAGCGACCTCGGGTCGGGTGCTCTCCCTACGGGCCCGCTAGATGACGTTCCTCCCGCCGCAGAGCCACGGCCACTGTTATTTCCCACGTGACAGTGCTCAAGGGCCAGAATCAACACAGCAGCATCCACCCCCCAGCCCCACCACCCAGGGCCCACCCTGGCCCAGCCCCTTGCCTGCTGCGCCCCAGATGCCAGACGAGGAGGCCTCTGGGTGACGGATACTCCTGGATCCATTTACCTGGATCAGCCCCACCAGCTTCTTCTGCATTTGGGACATCCAGGTAACAAACATTATGGGGTCCAAGAGGTGCCCGACCGTGGGCTCCTGAGAGGTCAGAGGTGCTTTCACAAGTGTCTCCCTATTGGGTTGGAAGGAGCCATGAGGGGCAAAGAGCTGAGCTGGGGCTGGGGTGTGGAGGACAGCTCGGCGCTAAGGGCAGTGGACCCCAGGCTGGGCCTCGCTCCCTCCCTAGCCTGTGCTGGCCGCCCCCACCCCTGCACAAGGCCCAGTGACTGGAGAGGGCAGCTGGGGTTGAGAAATGGGAGCAAGAGGCTCCGTTGGTGTAGACAAGTCTCAGTGGTCATACACACACACCCTAACGTGCTAACATACCCATACACATACTACGCAACAGACACACTGGCACGCACTAACACATGCGTGTGCATGCACTGTCCCCAAGGCCAGCTGTGTCCACCCTTCTCCGACCACCAGTCCTGCCCAGGTGGCCCCTCCAAGTCTCTCTGTTGATCACAGCCCTGGCCTGAGGACCCTCACCCAGAGCAGTGGCCTCACCCAGCACCCCAAGGTCCCCAGGAGGACTCACCCCGGATGCCCAAACAAGTTCGTCTTGTGCCAGGTGTACAGGACTTGACAGCTTTTCAAGTTGGTGCCGCAGGAGTGCGTGAGCTCAGAGAGGCGGCTGAGGAGCACTTCCTGGAAGTACATCCTATAGACCTCCCAGAGGCAGGTCCCCAATCGGCTTGCCCACGGGGACCCCAGGCCCTGTCTCATAGCTTGGTCTAGCTTCTCCAGGTATGGGTCCAGCTGGTCCTTGGGGCCCAGGGTGGGCACTCGGGCCTCAGCATCGTTTCTCAGCAGGTCCTCCAGCTGACCAGCCCACGGGGCAACACCACTGTCCTGGAGGGCGCCGGCCACTCAGCTCTGGTGCTTGTCCTGTGTCCACCCCACAGTGGTCAGCACTGCCTGGAGCTTCAGCTCCAGCTCCTGGCTGGGCCCAGGGCCCTCCAGAGCCTGCTGGATGACCTGCCACATGCTCTGGGCCACAGCCTGGTACTGGGGGCCACAGTCCTGCCCTTCCTCTGCCAACATCGAGATGCTCTGGTAGGCCTCCAAGAACCGCCCCTCCTGGACCAACTGGAGGGATCCTGGAAGAAAGGAACCTGAAAGGATGGCTCAGCAGGGGGCTTGAAAGACCCGGAGATCTGGGGAGGGGGAGAGGTGCCTGCCCTGGACCCTTCACTGTAATTTCTGACAGGAGTAGGGTGGAGATGGGCTGAGCTATACGGAACTCATCCATCAGAGGAACCACCAAGAAGACCAGGAGGAGGTTTCAAGAGGCTTTGGGAGCGAAGTTCCTTGTGGCCAGTCAGGATCAGAAGGCCACAGGTTTGTTACAATGTTTGCAGAAGACCAGTAGGCTTTCCACTGTGTGTCAGCTTTGGAGTAGAAAAACGTTAACACCCAGCTGTAAGCTCCCAGGGCTATGCATGGTCCATACCTTCATCAGCTGTGGGTTTGTTAACCCAACATGGAGACAGCAAAGGCACTTTCCCCACCAGAGGCACAGAGAGGGAGGTCCAGCAGACTTAGTAGAAAATTTCTAGCAAGGGGTGCTCAGTAGGAATGCACTTCAGGACCACCTGGAGGGCTCATTCCAGCCCAGATTGAAATGTGCATTTCCTTTTTTAATTTTTTGGGTTTTTTTTTTAAGATTTTATTTATTCATTTGACAGAGAGACACAGCGCGAGAGGGAACACAAGCAGGGGGAGTGGGAGAGGGAGAAGCAGGCCTCCTTTGGAGGAGGGAGCCCGATGCGGGGCTCGATCCCAGGACCCCTGTGATCATGACCTGAGCCGAAGGCAGACAATGACTGAGCCACCCAGGCGCCCCTGGAATGTGCATTTCTGACAGGTTCCCAGGAGGTGCTAATGGTGCCGGTCCTGGACCTCCTGCTCTGCCCGGCTTTGCACCCCAGAGGAGCCTCAGCAAGACTCTCCAGCCTGTAGCTGCAGAAGGCAGGCGCCAGTGAGACTCAAAACCAAAAGAGGAATTGGTGGGCAGGGTGGTCCAAAGCACTTGAGCACTTGGACACCAATTCTTCTGGACTTCAACTTGAAAGGGCATTTTGAACTTTAACTTCTGGAAATTTCAAAATGAGAGGGCAGTTATATTTCAAGTTGGGGCTCAGAGCGCCTTTCTGTTGTCAAGGGCAAATGCATGTCCTCCCCTTTCCTATTCCTCCTTTCTGACAGCTGGAATGTACATGTAATGCCAGGACCTGGGCAGCCATCCTGGGCCATGAGACAGGAACACCATGTGGAGGATAGTGGAGGAGTACAATGGAGAGGTCTGGGTCTCTGAGCACCGAGGAGTCCTGAACCACCTACTCAAATCTTCCATGAAAGAAGCAAATTTTATCTTGCTTTATCTTAAGCCACTAGTTCATTGGATCTCTCAGTGAAAGCAGCTGAACTTATAATAATACAAAGAATTGAGGAGTGGAATGTGGGATGGAAATTATTTTGAACCAAAACAGGACAGCCTTCCATGGCATGTAACTATTTTGAGGGTGAAGAGTCCCTACCCACTTCTCAGAGATAGCTCCTTGTTGATAGTAATTAATTAGATCAGACTTGAAACTAGGAACTGTACGTGCTGGAACCTCTGTGGTTTTACCAGGCGCAGGGCTGCTCAGACATCATTCCCCTTCCTTCCAGAGCTGCCCATCCAGCAGGGCAGCCTCAAGCCACACGTGGCTCCTGAGCCCTTGAAACGTCAAAACTGAGCTGTGCTGTCAGTGTAGACCACACACGAGATTTCAAAGACTTAGCGGGGGAAAAAAAAAAAGAATGTGAAATATCTTAATTCTAATATTGATGGAATGTTGAAACATGTTGAAATACTATGTCAGCTATATTGGGCTAAATAAAATATTTTCCTAAAATTAATTTCACCTATTTCTTTTTATATTTTAACTGTGATTCCTGAAAATGGCTCCCGCTCTATTTCCCTGGGCAGCACTAACTACTCTAGAGCACGCTTGCCCCTCTCCCTCCAACAAGGAGCTCCTGTTTATCCTGCACCAACCTGGCTGTTTTCTGGGTAGGGGGCCATCATCCCCCTACCCAAAAAACAGAAGAGCTGCCCTTACAAAGTCCTGAGGTCTCCCGGGCTTCCTACAAACATGGCTGCGTTGGCTACCATTTCTTTAGCAAAGATACTGGGGGGGGTGGGTTAGGCAGGCAAAGGCAGACATGGGGGGGGTCCACTGTTGCGTCCACACCCGCCCCATGCAGGCCCATCGAGCTATGCAGAGCGTGGCTGCTCCCGACCACCTGACCATCTCTTGGCATCACAGGCCAGCAACACGTGGGGCCAGCAACATCTGGCCTAAAAAAAAAAGTGAAATGCACCTGAAAAGTGACCATCCTGGCAGGGCTGGCCTGATGTCACGAGGCACAGGGCTAGTGTGGATGTGGGAGACCCTCAAAGATCCCATCACCTGTGAATCAACTGATAAACTCTTGTCCCCTCTTGGGTGACAATGCCAGATGCCAGAGATAGGCAGCTGGTGACACCTCATCCCCCCCCCATGACTCCACACTCTTATTGCAATTCTGCAACTTCCCACTGACCTCAGGGAAAATCTGAAGCGTTTTCTCTTCAGGAAAACATGCCCTAGATTATAAAGGTACCAGCTCCGCCCACAAACCCACTGCGGACCAGAGCCTTAATAACCAGCCCAGCCCCAGCCCTGCTGTTCCACGCAAGGTCATTTATCGAGCTTTTCTGTGTGTGGACCCATGCTGGGTCATGGCAACACAAATAAGACACTCCACACACAGCTCCACCTCCATCCCAGGCCCCTCCTCTCCCTCCTGCAGCGCTAGAGCCTGGGGTACAAGTAGCAGCCAGCTCTGCCGGCCTGGATTTGAACCGGGACCACCTCACCTGCTGTGGGCCCCTGGGCAAAGGGCTCCACCCCCCTAGCTGTGGTTTCCTCGGCTTTGAAACGGTAAGGTACGTCTCACAGGTGTGATGACTATGGGCTGGTTCACTCTGCTTTGGTCCTTCTCTTGCTCCCCGGCACTGTGTCAGAGCCCCCATGGGCTCAGCAGCCCACCCCAGCCCCGTGGCAGCCCGCTGCGTGGTGGGTGGTGGTGGTCAGCAAGCCAGCCCCGCTCACGTAGGATCCCCCAGGCATGGGAAGGAGGCATCTTCCCACTGTGCCTGGTCCCCTCCAGGCGCCCAGAGTGACATCCAGGAGGCTGGCATATGCAGTAAATATTAAACAAAAGGATAAATACGGGAGCAAAAAAAAAAATGAAGGAACAGGAAAAAGGCTCCTGCCAGATATAAAGGTGAGACCCAGGGGACACCTGGGTGGCTCAGTTGGTTAAGCGTCTACCTTCCGCTCAAGTCATGATCCCGGGGTCCTGGGATCGAGCCCCGCATCGGGCTCCCTGCTCCGTGGGGAGCCGGCTTCTCCCTCTGCCTGCTGCTCCCCCTGCTCATGCTCGCTCTTGCTCACTGTCTCTCTCAAGCAAATAAATAAATACATAAATAAATAAATAAATAAATATTTAAAAGAAATATATAAGGCAAGACCCATACCTTTGGAAGTTTCTGTCAGATGAACAGAAACTGGGGTTATTTCTGTGAAACACTCCCAGAAACTTTGCAATCTTCCTTCTGGGCTTCGGAGGATGCCTTTGGGCTGCTGCCTCGGGTGCCCCTGAGCCTCACGAGGCAGGATTTGTTGGTGCTCGCTGCCTGCTTCTTTTCCTTCCAGCCTGGGTTTCTCCTTCCCCAGCAGCCCTTTCTTTTCACCTGGTCCATCTCTCTGCCTTTGCACCCGACAGCAGCCTGGCCCCACAGACACCCTCTCAAGGTCTGCAAGTCATGGGGTCTTATCTATCTCCATGAACAAAAGAAATAAATGGGAGGAAGCTGGTGACGGCCAGAGAAATTTCCTCTGTATCTAAAAATATGGGTGTTGGGACATCTGGGTGGCTCAGTCGTTAAACGTCTGCCTTCGGCTCAGGTCATGATCCCAGGGGCCTGGGATCGAGCCCCGCATCGGGCTCCTTGCTCGGCGGGAAGCCTGCTTCTCCCTCTCCCTCTGCCTGCCCCTGCCTCTGCTTGTGCACGCTCCCTCAAATAAATAAATAAATCTTTTTTTAAAAATGTGAAACCCTTCTCAGATTTGTGTGTCACCGTCATGCAGGGGCCGTGCTAGTCTTCTCTGTATCATTCCACTTTTAGTATAAGTGCTGCTGAACTCAGAGCTCTTTTTTTTATTATGGTAAAACACGCACAACACAAGAGTTACCATTCTAATCATCTGTAAGTGTGCCGTTCAGTGGTGTGGAGTAATACCCATTAACTAAGTTGTGCAATTGTCACCACCATCCATCTCCAGAACTTTTTGGTCATTGCAAACCAAAACTGGCCCCATTAAACAGGAACCCCCATCCCCCCTGCCCCAGTCCCTGGCGCCCGCTCCCCTACTTTCTGTCTCTGGGACTCTGACCCTTCTAGGGACCTCACAGCAGTGGAATCATGTGGTATTTGTCCTTCTGTGACTGGCACCATGTCCTCGAGCTTCATCCATGCTGTAGCAGAGTTTCCTTCCTTTTTAAGGCTGAGTAATACTCCCCCATGTGCACGGACCACTCCTCTGTTTAAGCACTCGTGTGTCGATGGACACAGGCTGCTTCCACCTTTTGGCTCCTGTGAATAGTACTGCTCTGAACACAGGCGTGCAAATGTCTGTTCAAGTCCCTGCTTTCAGTCTCTGGCTGTGGTTTCTTTTTCGCTGACAAAGGCATGATCACCGCTGTGGTTCTTGAAAGCTTCTCTCTCCTTGGAAGCACTCACTGCCCAGGCCGGTGGTTGGCAGCTTGGGGGGTGCTATTCTGTTGGCCACACACCCCTTAGCTGCAGTCTCCTCTCTCTCCCGGCTCCACAGCATGACTTCCAGAAAGCACTGGACGTCTCCACATTCTAGTGGCCAAGGGCCGGCCACCAAAATGGCATGTTGATTATTTTAAATGAAAACTACTTGGGAAGGTCCCTCAGACCCCCGTCTGTCCCCTGAAAGCGGGCAGTAAGTCTCCCATATGAAAGGCACCCTGTCAGTAAGTAAAAAGACACCCTTGTCACCAGAGATCGGAAATTCAGAGCCAAGAAGGCCATATAAACAGCCGTGTTACTTTTTGCTAATTTCCTACTTTGGTCCAAATTCTGCTTAGAATTCCTTACAAGGCAAAGCTCCCAAACACCTGTTTTCTTTATACTGAGAATTCCCCACAAATTGAGCGTTTCTTTGTCCAAAATGTATGAAAACCACCCGTCTTGGTCACTTGTTTAGGTCTCAGTTTTATCAGGCCTCTGTGCACACAGAACAAAACTTTGCGTTTTTTTCTCCTGTCGATCTGTCTCATGTCACTTTAATCATTCGTCCAGCTGGAAGCCGTGAGGGTGGAGAAGAATTTTTCCTTCCCGACAACACACCTCCCTCCAAATCCCCTCCCCCACCAAGGCAGCGGGGTCCCATCTTTCTTCGAACCAGGCTTCACAGCACAATCCCGCAGGCCTTATCATGAGGGACTCCATTCAACATTCTAGAACAGTCCTCTATTTCTAGAACAGTGCCCAGGTTCCCAAGGACCACTCTGGCTTATTTGCATTCCCTGCGTTCATTACTTCCTGCTCACAGAGACAGTGACACACACTTTACTACGGGACACAGCTTACAGAACACACTGAGTTCTCAGGATTTTGGCACCACCATACACACATACTACAAAAACCCCCACGTGTATGTGAAATAGGGCTTCTGTCCCGAGCTGGGTGTTTTCCACGGGCGATCTCCTTCACTCCTTGACAACCGTATGAGGCAGGCCCTAACTGACAGATGCCGTGGGACAAGGAGATGCCCTGGGGTCGGGAGCTAGAAGGTGCTGGAACCGGGATACAGCCTGAAGAGCGGCTCCTCCTAGAAATGCTGGGCGGGGAGGGGATGTTCCCAGAGACTTTTGGTCTATGATACAAAGACCTTTGGGCTATGAATGTATCCAGAATCCAGAACCAGAAGGATGCTCCCACAGCCTGAAGGGAAGTCCGTACGGATGTGTCTCCCCAGGTCACACTCCTGGGTGTGAGCACTCATACTCGTTCAGATGAAAGGGGCCGTAGCGAGTGTGTCCAGTAGCATGGCTTGTGAATACTGGCATCCCGTGCACTGTTCTTGAAGAGTCCGAGATGAGCGTTGGAACAGGACTGTCTCTAATGGGCTAGGGTGGCAGGACCTTGGTGTCCTGCCTGGGGCTGGAAGCTTGGGCGTGAGGCACACCTCGATTCTGGGGTCCCCCTGCATCTGCAGCACAAACAAGCAACCTCATAGGCTGCAAAGCCTCACGAGTCCCACGTCCAGGTGACATACAAGACCTGGTGGCCTTGGTGAGGCTGTGGGGACAAGGGGGTGACCAGCGGGGTGGTGGGAACCAAGAACGAAACCATGCCCTCAGCTGGGCTTGGGGCCAACAGAGGAGCCCCCCGTCCCCATCACCAGATGCCTCGCTCCTGTAAACTGATAAACTCCAGGCTTGGGAGCCTCTTGAGGACAGAAGGTGGGTCTGCCAGGCTGGAGAGAAACCGTCTCAGGGAATCCCCAAAGGTCCCATTCCATTCAGGAAGGAAAGGGTTTTACTTTCAGTTTTGCTCTTACTGGTTTTCTGGTGTTTCTCGGAAACCACTGGGAAGTTCTCGTTTATTTTGCTCAAAACACATCTTGACGGATGAGCTCACGTGAGACACAAACACTCTCCTCCCTGCAGGGTCTCTAGGCCCTTATGGGGCTCCCCCCCCACCCGCCCCCACACAGCCCACCGCTATGTCTGGGCGGACTGTCCTGCCCTCCCTCCCCTGTAGTTCAAGGGCTGCCTGACCGGTTCCAGGCAGACTCCGGGGCAGGAGAGGCAGGCTTCCTCCCAATGCCCCCTCCCCTCCACGCTGCTGGGAGCACCCTTGAAGGGGTCCCAGGAAAGCCTCCGCCTGAGCCAGCTGCTTACATGTTCCCACAGCATGAGTGGGCTCAAGACAGAGACTCTCCTCACAACTCTGAGGGCCTCCCCCCCAACCCTCCAGGGCCAGTTCTCTCCCTCGGCACCTAAATCCCAAAGTTTTCTAACCAGGTTCACCAGACAGATTGGATCAAAGCGCACACCCCTTTTCTCGCCTCAGATGGGTGGGACTGGGAACCCCGCCGTCCATCCCGGGCCCCCCTCTGCACTGGGGGAGGGGGCCATGTGCCAGATCCATCAAGGTTTTAAACGGATGTACCTTCAGACCGAACTATTCCACTACGAAAGCTTCTGACCTCCCGACAGAAAGATACGGATTCACTCCACAAAGAGGACCGCGGGGTCTGCATAAGAAGCTGAAGCCACCTATAGGCTGACAGGCCGGGAAGGAAGCCGTCTCACAAACTGCCCACAGCAGCCAGAAGAGCTGGGACGCCCCCAGCCACCGACAGCAACGAGATGCACAGCGCAAGGGAAAGAGCCAAGCGCAGCACGCGCGGCTCCTAGACGTCACCCTGGCTCCCCGCTCGGGGGCCCACCTTCCTTGTCGTCAAAGCTGGCAAGGTCGCCTCTCTGACCAGTCATCAACTCTCCCCCTCTGACCACACCTGGGAAAAGCCGTTAAGGACTCATGTGATGCCACTGGGACACTCTCAATCACATCTGCACCGTCACTTTCTCCTCGTCCCCTATTCGCATGGGGGCGGGGGGGTCAGGGTGGGAACATCTTTACACCTTAACCATGACTCTGCCAACCACAATAGGACACCCTGCACACTGCTCGTGGCCATGCATATAGTCCTCGTTCCCTTCTCTGCTTGCATCCTGGATCTCTTGTGAGGACGGACCAGGGTCTACTCAACCAGGCCCTTCTGTTGGAAAATAAATGGAACTTTCTCTTGAGTCCATTCTAAGATAAGCTCAGGGGAATCCCAAACATATCTCTGAATATGTATCAGTGACTGATCATACAGCTGAAATAAGTATTTTCAGCAAGCAGCAAATCCTACACTGGCTCCCTGACCCACGGAATAAAGGTTTTCTGGATAGAAAAAGTAGAGGCCAACCAAAAATAAAGCAAGTGCTCAGGGGACTCCTAGATATGAGGGCGCCATTAAAGACAGAAACACACTCCCGTCTAACTACGGACAGAGATAACCCTGCCGTCCAGCCCTGAGTCCTGCCAATCCCACCGCTTGATACAAAATCCTCCCTCCCAAAGCACATGAAATCTGCTTACTTGCCTCTGTTCCCACCACTGGCCCATCCAAGCACCCTCTCTGCAGACCCGAAACAGCAAGGCCTCGTCCTCCTGCGGGATCTCTCACGCCCCCTTTTCAGGGCTGGTCTTGGTCAAATGCAGATCCAGTCAGCTCACCCCTCCCCAGCTGCTTTCTCGTAGCCCAAGGACTCAGTCACAATTATTCAGGGTCTTAAAGTCCTAAATACCTTTTGGCCCATCCCCTCCCTGCCTACCTGCCCCCTCAGTGCTCCTGCCCAGCCCCTTCCCTCACTCTCCCGCTCCTCCTCCAGGAGGCAGGCCCGCCCCCAAGACAAGAGCAAAATAGTCCCACGTGTGCGCCGTGGCCCCCACCTTGCCTACCTCATCACTGTTCAGCGTCCCTCTTCCCGAAGGCTGATCAGCTGCGTGAGCTCGGGCCTGGGCTCGCCGCTGAGTCCCGGGGCCTGGCAGGGCCTCATGCATCCACGGTTCGGTCAAGAGTCGCTGAATGAATGAATGAATGAATGAGCAGGTGATGAAAGTACCTCTGAGGCCCCTCCCCCAGCACCCCTCCTGCTGGAGTGGGGGGTGACTCTGACTCTGAGACTGGGCGACCCCCAGGCTTTGCTCCCCTTCTCAGGAGCAGTGGGCCTGACAGCCGTGTCCCCCGCCACCCCCATGAGCAACCATATTTCCAAGCTAGTCTGTTCCCACGGTGTTGCCTAAGAGGGGCCGGGGAAAAAAGGGTCTTCCCCCCCACCACTCCGGTGCCCCTTGGAGCCCCACTCTCTGCAGAAGCCAGAATGACGCTGGGATCATCTCTCCCACATCCTAAATTCCCATGAAGTGGGTAAAATCCTGCAACACACGTGCTACAAAATTGTAAAATTCTCCTTATTCATGGTGGTGCCCAACTTTCCCTTTCAGAAACTGCACCTGAGTCTGTCCCCCACCTCTACGCCCGGGGCTGCTGGCTGAGGGGGGTGCGGGGCAGAGTGGGGGCCAAGCGGGGGGTGAGCAGCTGGCCCTGGGAGGGAAGGAGGGTATGTGCGTGTGACCCCAGACCACAGAGCCCAGGGTCAGTCTGTCCAACCGGGGTAAGAAAGCTCTCCTTCATTTATTGGTTTTGAGTATGATGGATCCAGCTCAGGCCCTGTGGCCAGAGGCTGGGAAAATGCCTCTTCTCTCTCCTAGAATCCTAAAGAAACATGGCTGGGGACCCAAGCATGGGCACAGATGCTCCAATCCTCACCCACCTTCATGCTCCCTGCCGGCAGAGCGCCCGAGAGGGTCAGTGTGGGCACAGGCCACGGCCTCCCAGGCGACAGCAGCGAGTGGCCAGGAGCTGCAGTGTCCACTCCCAGCCCCCACAGACCCATCCCCAGAAACCCACCACCCCTCCCCTTCCTTGACTCCATTAGCCTGGACACTGTCACCAGGGCAAGAGGAGGAAGGGGCAGAAGCGGGGTGTGGAGGCCGGGACCCGTACTGAGGAGAGGGAAAGGGGCAGAAAGCACAGAAATACCTCCCGAAGGATCCCCCTGCAGCAGTGTGAAGGAGTAGGGGACACTAATCATTTTAAGAGTTTAAATAAATACTTAAGGCCAAGGGAAAGGGCCAGCGGGTCGGGAGGAAGCAGCGGGCAGCGGGGCGCCAGGAGGGGAGGCCGGTTCAGAAAGGGGGGCGCAGTGTGGGCAGCGAGCAGCCGCCCCCGGGGCCCCCAGCACCCCCGAGACCTGGGCCCCCGAGGGCACTACGGGTCACGGTCGGCAGCCCCTGGGCTCGGCTCTGGCGAGCAGGCCGCCGCGCTCGCTGGGAGCCTGTGCCGGGGGGGCCGCACTTGCAGGCTGTGGAGGCCCCGGCAGGACTGCCCCCCACCCCACCCCGCGCTCGCCAGCCCCGCTTCCCCGGCCGGGTTCTCAAACACGTCCGGGCCGCTGTACGCCAGGCTGCAGAACCGGGCGAGGGACGGACCCGGCCCCCGGCTGCTGCGGGGGGTGGATACGGGAGACAACGGGCGGGAAGCTCGGTCTCCAGGCCCCCGGTCCTCGCCAACCGCCTCGCTCCCCAGAGACCGCGGCCGCGCCTCGCCACCTGGCGGCCTGCGGTGGAAGTGTCCGCTGGCGTTCGGCGCTTTGCCCACCTGGTGGCACCTGGGCCCAGGTGAGGCCCAGGGAACCCGACTGAGGTCTTCCCCTCAGAAGACAGGTGAGAGCCTCATCAACGGGAGAAAGTTTCTGAGTGAGGTTTCAATAAACATTTGAAGGCTGGGAGTTCTTTCAAGAAAAATCATCTTGCCCCCCCCCCCAAAAAAAAGGAGGCAGTGAACAGAATGACAAAGATCACAGCAACCCAGGTGCCCCTTACTACACATCAGGCCCTGGTAAACACAGGTGCTGGGACAGGGCTCTCGCAATGCATGCTCCAACCCACAGCAAGAAATCCATCCCCGTGTGCCCCAGTACTTGCCTACATGTGTGTCTGACCCCTCTTGATATTTTCTCTTCTATGCTACTCAGGGTTGCCAGATTTGGTAATAAAATACAGGACTCCCAATTGTTTTTGAATTTCAGATAAATAACAATGACCTTTTTTTTTTTTTTTTTAGTATGTGTACATCCCACACAATATTTGGGGTATATTTATAGTAAAAGAAATTATTTGTTTTGTAACTGAAATTCAAATTCAACTAGTTGTCCGGTATTTTACTTGGAAACCTTAATTCTACCTCATTTTTTAAAATGCCAGTTGCAATATTCTGAACCAATATTACAGCTGGCTAATGAGTCAGAGGCCCCAGTTTGAAGACATTGCCTTAGGTGACAGGGCCAGAAGCGTTTCTTTCCACAGGGGAAACCAAGGTCAGCGGAGGAATTTGGATTCGAATTGGAGTCGCCACCCCTCCCCTGCCAAGACCCACCCTCCCTTTAGCTGCAATGAGAGGAATCTCAGTGGGTCTGCAGACGACCATATCCATGATCCATTTTCTCAAATTCCTATTTCTAAGGACAAAGAGGAAATATATTCACAATCAGAGAGAGGCTCCAGCCAATGTTCTGTAATAAGGACTTGGACCACTGCATTTTCTTAAGGGGACATAAAACAGTATTTTCACATTTGTTGACATTTATGAACAACATTTGATGCAGTTCATAAGTGGATAAATGCTGAAGGCAAAGACGGAAAGAAACAGATGATGCAAAATTTTAAAAATTAATCAAATTGATGATTCTAATGGGTATTTATAAATCAAAAAATAAAAATGTTTTACAACTATGGAGCAAAGAAAAATGGCTATATTGCCTTTGAGAAAATTATGAGTATCAAAGTTCTCAAGGGTTCCTTCCAAATACTGCGTTTTGACAATGCGATGCACAAAAAAGACTAACAACCGGCTGGCATCTGTCTGAGGGGTATTTGAAACCCGGAGGCAGCATTTCCAAGGCAGATTGTTCTAGATTCAGGCACAATAGGTGACACGTAGCTGGCTGCAGTCAAAGGAAGCGATCCTTTTATTCTTACAGAGTTCTAGAAGTTATTGGTCAAGTGATGAAGCATAAAAAAAGGAAAGGGTCCCCTCGGCCCAGAAGACCCCTGGTGATACTGAGGGGGAGGAATTCATGGTGTGGGGTAGTCAGCACGGCTGTGACTTAGACACCCTTCTGTGTTGGGATGCCTGGGATTTCTGAGCTGTCGGTGATGAGATGTCCATGCCTGCCTCGCTTACACTCCCAGGCGGAAGGGGTTGGGTCGGGGGCCTCACTGCCACACACAGGGCCCCGTACTGATGGCTGTTGAAACTGGTGGTGCGCCACGAGGGCCCCCGTGTGCTCGGCTCTTGTGGACATTGGACATTTCCACAATAAGAAGTTTTCTTTAAAAAAAAAAAAAAAAGAAGGAACAGGGAAATTTTCAGCAACTGTCACTAGACACAATTTGGAGTGCAAATAACATGCCCTAGACAGGCCTTGCTGCAGAAATGCTCACCACCTCACTGGGAAGAGAGGAAGCCCCCAAATCCCCAGGGAGGGGAGAAGTACAGTCCCATGGGGTCTCTCCTAGGTGGGCCTCATCTACACTGCTCAGTAAAGTGGCCTCGCCAAGGGGAGGCCAGGGTAAATGGAATCGCAGCTCTCTAGCTGGCCCAGGCTCTGGCCCAAACCTGAGGACCTCTGCGAAGGGCCATCCACCCTCCAGGGTGGCAGTCAGTGAAGGAGGCTCACAGCAAAAACGCCCAGGACCCTTGAAGGTAAAGCTCTGTTGGTTCCATCATTCAGCTACTTCCTCAGGGATCCTCCCTCCTCAGGCAAACACCACAGAGAAGATTGTGCGGGACCAAGGCCGGTTGGGGGTCCAAGAGCAGCTTAAGGCCATGAGAAGGCCTGGGTGAGCTAGGGAAGCTGGCTCCGGGGGCATGGGGGGCACGCTCTGCCAGGCCCCTGCAGTGGTCCCAGGGCCAGAGTTGGTGACAGCGCCTCACATCCAGAGTCCCAGACCCCAGCGGCCAGTCTGTACCTGCCCAGCTCCTGCCAGGGTGCCAGGGAGGCTGGGAGGCCACGTTGGGACCAATTTTCTTCACAGACTCTCCCTAGAATGTCTCCAAGACACACAGCAGCTCTCCAGGCTGAAAGGTCTCCACAGTATTGCTGGGGCCTGCAGGAGGGACAAACTCAACCCGGGTTTTAGCAACAAAAGACCCGTGTCCCAGGCAAAGGGGGCAGGTGGTCACTCTGGGCCCTACTCGCCTGCCTTAGTTCGGGCTGCTCTAACAAACACCACAGCCTGGGGGCTTATAAACAGTCCTGGAGGCCGCGCCTCTGAGATGGGCCCTGGCAGACGTGGTGTCCTGTGAGGACCCGCTTCCAGGTTCACGGTCAGCTGTCATTTCTCTGGGTCCTCACACGGCTGGAAGGGGCTGAGGGGGCTCTCCAGGGCCTCCTTCATAAGAGCACCTGATCCCACTCAGGAGGCTCCACCTGCGCGACCTAATCACCCCCAAACGTGCCCCCCCAAAACCTCACCTTGGGGGTGAGGTTGCAACATAGGAATTATAACCAAGGGAGACTTAGCCCAAGTGATTCTTCCAGCCTTTGACTGATGAGTCCCGGGAATGGCTGGAAAGGTCTCTACTTCCCGGAGGGGGACCACACCCACGTGCCCCACCCCAGGCCCCTCTGAGAGCTTCTTGGACTTTTTTTTTTTTTAAGATTTTATTTATTTGAGAGAGCGAGAGAGCACGAGCAGGGGGAGCAGCAGAGGGAGAGGGAGAGGCAGGCTCCCCAGTGTGCAGGGAGCCCGACACGGGGCTCGATCCCAGGACCCTGGGATCATGACCTGACCCGAAGGCAGACGTTTCACCGACTGAGCCACCCAGGCATCCCTCTTCTCAGACTTTTGACTGCGATCCATGGTCCTGCCCCGAGTGCACGTGGTGTCAACACTGATCGCTGGAGTTGGCAGCGCAGGGAAGGCTTCGAGCTCGGGTAAGTAGACCCCCTCACTAGGGCCAAGGGTCTGGCAGCCCCCTACCCCTCAGCGTTCTGGGCAGAAAGCGTGGCTGCAGCCTCCCCTCCCCTGAAATCGGTGGGGAAATGTGGAAAGCAAGGATCCTGGTCCACCTCTTTTCCTTGCCCAGGAAGAGAGAAGCATCTGGAGAAGCTTCTCCCTGGGATGGGGGATCTCAAGACATGAGCTCCACTGGGAATGTCCAGGCCAGCCTTGGGTGAGTGGATTCTCCCTGGGGCCACCCTTGCCTTCTCCAGAGTGACACCAGGATTTAGCAATTTTACTCAAGATCATTTCCACCTTCATTCACGCCACAGATGTTCATTAAGTTACCCAAATACCTTGGACACTGAGCACCGTGGGCTGCATTTGTTTTCTGGGACCGACATGAGGTACCACAGACCAGGTAGCTTTAAAAACAGGTGTAAGTATTGGTTCTGGAAGCCAAAACTCCAAGATCCTGGTGTCAGCAGGGCTGGTTTCTCCCGGGGCTTCTCTCCCTGGCTTGTGGATGGTGATCCTCTCCCTGGGTCCTCTGTGCGTGTCTGTTCTCCTATAAGGACACCAGTCCTGTTGGATCAGGGCCCACCCTAAAACGACCTCTTCTTAACTTGACCACATCGGTCCCGACCTATCTCCAAATACAGTCACATTCTGAGGTCCTGGGGGTTAGGATTTCAGCCTGTGGATTGGGGGCTTGGGGAGTACATAGATGCTGGTGTTTAAAAACAAAGACGGCACAGTCCCAGGACCTGTGGAGTCTCAAAGCCTGGTAAGATGTGAGCACGGCCCAGCCCGGAGCAGAGCCCAAACGGGGCTGGAGCCGTGGCTGTGGCCCAGACGAAGCCCAGGTCCTCCCCTCCCCCGGGACCCATGTGGAGAAACGCTAGCCAGGCTCAAACAAACCCTCCGTTCGGGTCTCTGTGTGTGTCTCGGATGGGGCAGAGGCTGGCCACAAGTGCTGCAGGTGACAGCTAAGCCCACCTGTGCTCCCCGCACCTGCAACCCCCATCCATCCCGCCCTCCCGGGAAGCCTTTCTAGGAGTGGCGCATGGTGACTTCAACAGCACCCAGAGAGTAAAAATAACAGCGTGCCATAGAGCACGTTTCAAAAGTCTGAGCTCACAGCCAAATCCCTTCCCCTTCCAGCCGCTCTAGCCCCCCAAGAAGTCACCCACTGTTGGGGCCGCCAGCTTCAGGTGGCAAGTGCTGTTCTTATAAACGGCTGGCCCGGATTCTCAGCTTGAGTTAGGATGCTCCCCAAGCAGTCAAGGATGTTCAGGGATGGCTTCCAGTGTTGCTTAAAGAGCGTGAAAACGTGCAAGCAAGGTCGGGCTGCTCCCTCCAGC